GAAGAATCTCTCAGAAAACATTTCTACATACCAAGATTGTCCAACTTGACTCAGGCCATTGCACGTAGATGTGTAACGTGTGCTAAAAATAATGCAAGACAAGGACCAGTAAAGCCACCAGGAGTCCAGTTTATGGGGGGACTTCCCATGTCCGATTTACAAATTGACTATACAGTGATGCCTAAATCGGGTGGACATCGCTACCTGCTGGTAGTGGTGTGCACCTATTCAGGCTGGGTAGAAGCATGTCCTACTCGTACAGAGAAAGCAGGAGAAGTCGTGAGATTCCTGCTACGAGAAATAATACCCCGATATGGACTACCCTGCTCTATAGGATCGGACAATGGTCCAGCTTTTGTTCATCAGTGCCTACAACAATTGACTCATATGCTTGGTATAAAGTGGAGGCTTCATACGGCATATAGACCCCAGAGTTCTGGTAAGGTAGAGAGAATGAATAGAACTATTAAGAATCAGTTGGCTAAAATGTGTCAGGAAACCCAACTTAAGTGGAACGTTCTCTTGCCCATAGCTCTATTGCGAATCCGTAGTACACCTACCAGAAGGATGGGCCTCTCTCCTTTTGAAATCATGTACGGGCGACCACCTCCCGTGCTTGGTAACTTAAGGGGGGATTTGAGTCAGTTGGGAGAAGGAATTACCCGGCAGCAGGTTGTAGAGTTGGGTAAGACTATGGAGGAGGTACAGAAATGGGTACAAGATAGATTACCTGTGAATATTTATCCCCAATTCATAGTTACCACCCAGGCGACCAAGTGTGGATTAAAGAGTGGAATAATGTGCCGTTAGGGCCCAAGTGGAGAGGTCCTTATGTTGTTCTTCTGTCTACCCCTACAGCGATAAAAGTAGCCGAAGTGGCTCCGTGGATACATCACTCCAGGGTTAAACCAGCAGCAGCCGATTCCTGGCAAGTTACAGCAAATCCAGAGAATCCCTGCAAGATCCGGTTAAAACGCACGACTCAGTCGGAGTGACGAGGAACCTTGTAGATTACAAATTTTATTGTTTCAGAGACTTGGTAAGTGAGTGAGAAGGCCATAATAAAGCCTGTCCACTCACCAACGAGTGTATAAGTCAGGGAAAGTCTTGAGGGGACCCCTGTGAAGGCGAGCAGAACTCCATTCCCTGCAGTCCTTACATCCTGGAAGCTGAGGTGCCTTCACACGGACGAAGACTGAGGATGACGACGAAAGATGTATTTTTAATAATGTTTATTTATGTGTATTTTTATATTCAGGAAGGTAGAGGTACCAACACTCCTAGCTGTGAGGTATGCATTAAGACTACAAGAACAGGTAACCATATATCCCAGACCCTAATTTGGCATTCGCAATATGAGTGTAAAGGAGATGTATCAAGATGTAGATACTTAAATATAGAATATAGTGTGTGTCATTTAGGAGTAGGAGAACCTAAGTGCTTCAGTCCTGAGTATCAACCCCGTACAATTTGGTTGACTCTCAGAAATGGAGATTCTCAGGGGACCCTAATTAATAAGACGGTATTAAAATCCGTATATTCTTCAGGTGCTCTGCTATTTGATGCGTGTAAAGCAATATCAAGTGGTAGAAAGCCGTGGAATGTATGTGGGGATCTTAGATGGGAGAGGACGTATGGGTCTAACGATAAATATATTTGTCCCAGTAGTAAAAATAAATATGTAAGTCCAAGATGCCCAAATAGAGATTATAACTTCTGCCCATATTGGTCTTGTGTGGGGTGGGCGACTTGGGGACAGACAGCAGACAAGGACATGATTGTGACTAAGTTGCCTACTAATCCATATTGTAAGTCTATGGAATGCAATCCAATCCATATACTTATAAATAACCCTGACAAGTTCTTAGATAAATATGGTAATTTATTTGGGTTTCAAATATATGGGACGGGTTAGACCCTGGGACAATATTGTTTATAGGGATAGAGACTGATACGGTAACCTCCCAAACTCATCAAGTATACCATTCCTTTTATGAAGAGATGAGCATAGATAATAAGATCCCCCATAATGCTAAAAACTTGTTCATTGATTTAGCCGAGAGTATTGCCGGTAGTCTTAATGTTACCAACTGCTATGTGTGTGGAGGTACTAACATGGGAGACCAATGGCCTTGGGAAGCAAAGGAGGTAATGTCCGGTTCTGAGGCAGTTGACCAATTAATATCTACACAAGCCGACTATCATATGAGTGTTAGAGGTAAATCTGAGTGGAGATTGAAGACCTCCATCATAGGTTATGTTTGCATAGCGAGGAAAGGAATGATGTATAATACTTCTGTAGGAGAATTAACTTGTCTAGGGCAAAAAGCTTATGATGATGATACAAAGAATACAACTTGGTGGTCGGCTTCAAATGTCTCAGAACCATCTAACCCGTTTGCAAGATATGCCAATTTAAAGGACGTATGGTTTGATCTATCCATCACATCTAACTGGAGAGCCCCAGCGAATTTGTACTGGATCTGTGGTAAGAAGGCCTATTCGGAGTTACCACAGGACTGGGAAGGGGCATGTGTGTTGGGTATGTTAAAACCATCCTTCTTCTTGTTGCCTATTGAAACAGGTGAGACTTTAGGTGTTAAAGTGTATGATGTGAATCATAGGAAGAAAAGGGGACCCATAGAGATAGGTGCCTGGGAAGATAATGAATGGCCTCCCCAGCGTATTATAGATTATTATGGGCCAGCCACGTGGGCAGAGGATGGTACCTTTGGTTATAGAACCCCTATTTATATGCTCAACCGCATTATAAGGTTACAGGCGGTGGTTGAGATCATTACTAACGAGACATCACAAGCGCTCAATCTTCTAGCGAAGCATAATACCAGGATGAGGACAGCAGTTTACCAAAATAGATTAGCCTTGGATTATCTTTTGGCAGTAGAGGGAGGTGTATGTGGGAAGTTTAACCTGAGCAATTGCTGTCTTCAAATAGATGACGAAGGGCAAGCAATAGCTGAGCTTACTAGCCATATGGTTAAACTAGCGCATGTGCCTACTCAGGTATGGAAAGGGTACAATCCAAGTAGTTGGTTTGGTAGCTGGTATGAGTGGTTTGGAGGGCTTAAGGCAGTGGTAGGTGGAGTCCTACTGATTTTAATGTTGTGTCTACTCCTGCCGTGTCTTATACCCTTAGTAGTTAGGTCTGTGCAAAGCCCGATAGAAAATATAGCAGAGAGGAAGGCTGCTGCACAGATAATGGCAATTTATAAATATAAGGCTCTAGATCAGGGAGAACCAATGCAGGAAGACGAGTGTTGAAGATTCACATCGTAGGATAAGTCTGGTCTGGTTCAAAGGTAACTTGTGGTGTATGCAAACCAAGGTTAAGTGATGCCTCAAGTAATTGTAAAATATCAAGAGGCATCAAAGGGGGGAATGTGGTGGAATCTCGGTAAAAATAAATTTAGTAGGCCGAGATTACCACGTGGCATGTGTACGTGCATATGCTGACGTATCGATCAGTTGGTTGCACGAGGCAAGATACGATCAGTAGTGTACGGAGCATGTGCAAGAATACAGGATGTAGTATTCCCCTCCTCCATTGTGCTGGACAAGCCATGCGGTCAAGCAGGAAGTTAATTCTTATTTGTAATGATTGGTCAAGAGAATGTGCGGGTGGAGCTTAATATGGGAGGAGTTATGTGCCTATATAGGGAGCCTGCACTATTGTTCAGGGCTCAGAACTTGCTGTATTTTTGGTGACATTAGTCCCTCTGAGTCCCGATCGGTGATCCAATAAAGAATCTCTTCCTTCCTGAAGAAACCTGTGTCCATCCCTCTGTGCTTTGCTTCCGTCAGTTTCTCCGGTATCACTTTGTCTTTAAGAGATATTGCAAACTGACGAGGTGATGGAACATATTGTTTTTCGTAACTGTTTCTTTAAGCAATAACCTCTTACCTACCTTCAGTGCATAATATGTTTGCGCCATTTTGTCCCAGACGAATTACAACAACAATAATGCATAAACAATCTTCAAGGCTATGCTACAACTCTTTCAGTACACAATATACTGTGGTAACCCTAAGTAGATAAGGATGTTCAGACTTTAAGATGCCATCTTGAACAAAGTCAGGAAAATTTCCATGACGTATACACCCTTCAGTTATGGACTTGTATTTTTGCCAAGTTAAGGGAGGTCCTAAAATGAATAAAGTAAAAGAAGTGTTACTTTTTCATATATGAACTACGGTAACCCTAAAATGAAGACACCTAAGGTATAAATAGGTGTACTTTTAAATGTTAACCCCTTAAGGACCAAATTTCTGGAATAAAAGAGAATCATGACATGTCACACATGTCATGTGTCCTTAAGGGGTTAAGACACAGAGGAGAGACTTGGAGACAGACGCTGCTCCATCTTAAAATGACAGAGAGGCTGACATGATGACATGTTCAGAAGGGTAGGTTAACCTATTAATGATATTTGCAAGCATTTAGTTTAATCTTAGAAACTCTGCTATAATGGATTTTATATGTCTATATTTATATTTTTATATAATAAATATCTAAAAGACAAAACTTTATTGCTTCCAAGACAATCCTTATTTTATATTGTATTCTCAATTATTTATATATGTTAAATAGAGGATCTCTTACTAACTATATAAAATTATAGCTAAGATAGCTGTATGGTTAGCCCTATGCTTTAAGACGTTATAGTGGTAAATAAGGGAACCAGCCGCGGTTACAGCTTTCTGGTTACTTTAATTTGTGAATTGTGTTTTATGACTAGTTTTTCTATATCTGATTGCCACAATATTCCTGTCCTTTAGTGTCAGGTGACTATGATTAAATCTGGGTGCTTTTAAGTATGAATGAATCAAGCCCACACCCAGCACTGGTTGCATTTATTTTTGGCAATGAGAATTTCCTCTGTCACTTCTGGGATGATAGTTTACTGTCTACCTGTAGATGTCCTAGCTAAATATACTTACACTTTGCAGCATACTGTTGGTTACACCAGATTTTATACTTTAATAAGCACAATATAAGGCAGCTTGAAGTTAATGGGAACTAAGCCTAGTTCCCATTAACATTAAGCTGCCTTATATTGGGAAACTCTAACTGAGCAAGCTTTATATTAGGAGTTATGAGTGATAGCATATATAATAATGATGCTTTCACAGGCACACAGATATACAATTGTCTGGACCCAGTAAGCATTTTTAAGAATAAGGTTTTATCAATAGGAAGTATACATGAATATATTTAAAATACATGTAACGATTACTTAGTTTAAGTTTATTCATTTTTGTTTTTTGTTTAAGGTTATATTTTCCCCATTGTTGTATATTTATATTTTACCTCTTTTTTTGTATACTGAAAGAGGGAAAAACAGTGGATCATTTTGTCTATAATATTATATGGATATCCAGTAACATAAAATAGAGGTATGGAGCGTCACCTCTATCATTGGTATATTTGCACGATCAAATCTAAAATCAGGAAATTAAAAACGTATGTAAAAAATGGCATACATTTATAAAATAAAAAGCACTCACACAAACAGGCCTGTAATGTACCTAAAAGGGGAAGGAGAGGTCACTCGATCACAATGACAGAATCCCCTTTGTGCAAAACCCATTAGATAATGGCCCAATGCTTATATTTCCCAGTATCTGTATATAGACTGGATATTCCATTCTTCTGTGAGACGTGTCCTGTGTATCTGTTTGATGGAGCTGAAGATAACTCCTTTAGAGTTGGCATATAATGTGATATAAGTCTAAACATTTTAATTATATAAAGTATTATATAAAGTATAGATGGGATACTTGGGAGAGGAAACACATCATATTGGCAGTAACCAATTGAGCACGATTTACATCATGCATGAGGTTTTCTTTATTTAAAGGACCACTATAGTGCCAGGAAAACAAACTAATTTTCCTGGCACTATAGGGTCTTTGGGTCCCCCTCACCCTCAGGGTCCCACTCCCGCCGGGCTGAAGGGGGAGGAAGGGGTTCAATTCTATAGACTTTGTACAAGCACACAGGGCACTGAGACCTAGAGAGGCAGGATCTGCTGCCTTGCCCATTTCGCCCTCAAAGAGGACATGCATATGGCCCGAAATGTGCACGAGATCAGACATGAAGGCAGTGGCCTACAAATCTTCCCTGACCTGTGCCTGGCTACACTGGGATTTAGATGAGCCCTCAAGCCTCTTACACACGTATTAGTTGCGCAGAAAATCTGATACCGCTGGATCTTCCCAACAAGCCCGGCAGTTGCTATGCCAAAAGGACCACGTCAGGTATGCCACCATTGCAATATGATGGCTATTTTGGACCTCCTGCAGATGCCACCCATCAACATGCGATGGCCTGACCCACAGGACTTATACCGCCAGATACCTGAATCGCCGGAGCAGGCTCCACCACAACGGCAGAACAGAACCTGGATGGAGTCCACGAGGCCACTTCATTAATCAACAGGCAAAGTCCAGGAGCTGGAGACACCCTGACAACTCCCGACAACCCGACATGCCACAACTGACAACATGCGAACTGATCAACACCCGGACAGACATCGGATAACAGGAGCCCACTTAAGGACTAGGACACGCTGATGGACAGTCTCAAAGGAGGACTTATCTTGTGGAACCACATATACAAATTACAGAAGGGGCTATTACAGATCACACCCTGAACACCTGCACACATCACACACACATGCTGTCACTGGGGGGGAGGGGGAACTCGTGGTAGGGCCAGGGCCGGTGGGACATGTGGAGTCATCTTGTGCAGTGGTGTAAGAGTGATTGCCACCACAGGAGGGCTCGGCGACCCAGCGACTGGCTCACTCTCTAGACCTTGACCCCTGCATATGGGGAACTCTGTACTCTGTATATTGTTGATAAACTGTTATTGTTAGGGTGCTCGACTGGGCTTCCTACTTGGTACGAGGCGCCAAACCGAAGGGGGGGGACACAGCTGGCCGACAGGTGCTGCCCCTGGGCCCGCCCCCCCAGACGACTTCATCCCAGCTCCAGGAAGACGACTCCCGGATCTACTGTACGGCGGCGGGAAACATCCGCCAACTGGGCATAAGAGGGGGGGTCTCCTTACCTACCTCCTTTCCCCTTCCCCGCACCTCACCTTGCCCTCATCCGACACACTTCCTGCCCTGTCCCCTTCCCCCACAATGACTCATGCCTACAGACAAGTGGAAATAAATCTAATCTCCATAAATGCAAAATGCCTTAAGAAACAAGAAAGGCAATCACACGCCCTAAGACAGTTCCACAGTCAGCGGGCACACATAGTCTACATACAAGAGACACATTTTAGAACGTATCAAGCCCCCAGACTACTATCTCAGTAATAACCCAAAGGGCAAATCAAAGTGGGTGGCTATACTGATCCATAGAGCCCTACAGTTCATTGCAGAGCTCATGGATGATGCGGGAAGATCATCTGTGTGAAGGGCAAAGTGGGTGACAGAACATACACATTGGCGAATCTCTACATGCCGAATAGGAACCAAAGTCGGTTCCTGAAATCAGCCATAAGGACCATAGGGGACTTCACAGAAGGTTGTCTCATCTTAGGAAGGGACCTGAACTGGAGGGCACAATACCCAGACAACCGAGACTACACCTTCCTCTCTATACCCAACCAGACGTACTCCAGACTTTACTATTTCTTCCTACCCCACTACTTCCTCACAGACCTAAAAAAAAACACACATTGGGGCAGCGACGTGGTCAGACCACACCCCACTACACATGGCACTCTCTTCTTCCCTACACAGACCTACCTATGAACAGTGGCGCCTCAATGAGGCACTCCTGCCAGACCCATTGGTGACAACTGACTTTCGCCAACACCTTACCCACTACTTTCGGGAAAATGATACACCAGAAATTGCACCCATGGTACTGTGGGAGGCCCACAAACCCATCATCAGGGGATACTTCATAATGAGGGGGGACAACAATGAAAAAGGAGAGAGCAGCACACTTCACAATCTTACTACAGGAGATCCAGACCCTAGAGGAGAAACACAAACAAATACAACTACCAGCAGACTGGACCAAACTGACAACCTTGAGACGAGAGCGCCATATTAAACGCCTCCTACCAGAGGAAATACCTCCAAATGAAAGCATTCTTCCACACAAACGCGAACAAATGCAGGGCACTACTGGCTTGCATAATCGCCAAAAAGAGAGTGGCCACCTATATCCCTAAGATACGGAGGGCCGACAATAAGCTGACATATCGTCCACCTGGCATAGCCAAGACAATACGTGACTACTATTCACAACTATACTCCCTCCCCTGGCACACGCCCGAACGGGAGGGCACCCTGACAACTTACCTAGAACGCCACATTCACAAACGCCTCACTAGAGAGGCAGTGCAGGAACTTGGCAAACCCCTCACCATAGAGGAATTAGTGGGATTGCTTAAGGCGACAAAATCCCGGGCCCACATGGGCTTCCCACACGCTACTATAAGCAATTTCCAGACCTGCTTCTCCCCCAACTCCTCAGGGCCTATAACATCATTTGATCCTGAACGAGGGCAAGGACACGGAGCAGTGTGCCAATTACAGGCCAATCTCCTTATTAAATTGTGACCTCAAATTGTTCACCAAAATTCCGTCTACACACTTTCAACGATTCCTTTCTTACCTGGTCCACCGGGATCAGACAGGGTTTGTCCGTAAACTTGAGGCACGGGACAACACGATTCGAGCACTGTTCCTTATCCGCTATGTGCAACAATATTCGGAGGGCCTTCTACTGCTCTCCACGGATGCAGAGAAGGCCTTTGACAGGGTCAACTGGGATTACTTGTTTGCGGTCTTGAGGTCCTTTTGGGTTGGGCCATTACATGCAGGGCTGGATAAAGGCGACCCCAATGGCTAAAATATGCGGCAATGGGACACACACGGAACCCTTCCCAATTCTAATTCTAGACAGGGATGCCCCCTCTCTCCCCTGCTCTTTGTCCTTGCCCTCGAACCCTTCCTGAACGCAGTACAACACAACCCACAGATACATGGGCCCCAAGTGGGAAGGGACAAACATTCAGTGGTGGCATACGCCAACGACCTACTGTTCTTTGTGACAAAACCAGAAGTGTCATTGCCCACGATCATGACAGAATTTGAAACATACGGCAACATCTCAAACCTTAAAATAAACTACACAACATCCACCACACTAAACATCTCCGTACCCGGCAAATTAGAGAGAGTGCTGCGCAAAAATCACTCCTTCACATGGGCGGAGTCATCGCTAAAATAATTAGGGGTCTGGATAACGAAAGACTTAGCACACCTATACCAAGTGAACTTCCATCCCATACTGAACAGGGTGCGTAGGGACTTAGAAGACTGGTCCAGACCAGGCATCTCCTGGTTCTGCAGGATAGGAACCATAAAGATGACACTCCTACTGCGACTACTCTCTCTTTCAGACTCTACCCATCACCCATCACACTGGTACTACGATTCATCTGGCACAAAACCAAAGCCAGGATTAGCCATGACAAGCACCCGAAAGTGGAAGGCGGACTAGCCCTGACAGACTTTAGACAGTATTACATGGCGACACACATCCACAGAATAACTGAATGGGCAAGGAGTCTAGAAACGCTGGAAGACGGTAGAAACAGCGCTAGTGGAACGACCGGTAGAAATCCTACCGTGGTTGGACACACTCCACTGCTCGAGACTGGCAGCCCCACACCCACTAATCAAAGCCACAATACATGTATGGCACCAACTAGCGACCAAAAAATTGAGCTTACCTCCTTCCCATCCCCCCTATACCCAATAGTCCACAACACAGCATTTCCCCCAGGAGTAGAGGCACTAGTGCTTCAAACGCTACTAGGACACAGCCTTCCCCAACTACGACACACGACATGAAATGGCACCATCAAGCCATTGACAGATCTCCCAAACCCCACCACACTGACTTTCATGCACCACTTCAGCTTACACAATTTATCAACTCTATACTGCAGATGCATATGGTCTCGAAAGAACGCATGGACTTCGAGGCCATATGTGTAGATCACAAGCCCATGGAAAGGGGAGTCTCATTCCT